GTACTGGGGCATGGACAGCGTTTGAACTCCCTCCAGTGAAAGTCCTTTTGCATTATCCATTTCCTAGTTCGACTGCGAATTGCTGATTTTCGAACAATCGGTTGGCATAGACACATGTCATGAAAGATGTGCCTATTACTACTGTACTATATCGCTCATATCACTGGGCCCGACCAGAATTAGTGGCTCTAGCAATCGGAGAACCATGTTTGTCAGCGTTTCCGTTCGTCATGGCACCAACAGTATCGTCAGGCCGAAGCCAAAAGACATCTTTTGAGCTGCACACCAAGCAGCTAATCACAATGAGACAAATTCGACTAGCATATATTTATATGCATTCATTTAATTTCCCGATGGGTTCAACGTTCGTTTTAGCACGCCGTTTCTTCCTTTTGATCAGGGTAGCAAACAGACAATTGTTTTATATATGCTCAAATACACTCACGGTTATTTCCAAGCTCACTATTGATCTTGGATATTGAAATCCTCCAACCCCTTCTCGACTCCCTCTTTCCGTTTGTTTGCACTGCGTAGCTCTGCTGAAACACACGGAATACATTTGTCAAAGTGTGGTCGACTGCGGTGTCCTACAACTACTGGTTCACGCCTGTCGTTCGAACGATGTGCCCACTCTGCGTCAGGCCGCCCTCAGTCTGGCTCACGTGGCCGTGTTCGGTGGCGCGAACAGTCAAAGCGAAATGATGCGTCAACACGCAGTCCAATGGTTGTTCCGTCTCGCTTTCTATCCGGACGAGGTGGTGCAGTATTTTGCATGTCTGGCCAGCGTAGTACTATCGACTAATCCGTGAGTTAATGTGGTTTACTCATGTTTTAGTATAAAAATGGCCCTAACTAGGTGTTTAGTTTCAATTGACCTCTATCGGGTTTGGGAATGAAAGTGCGAATATCAAACTCCAGAACCGTAGGGCCACATTATGAACATTGACATGTACGGAATCGATCGGTACTTATAACAAGCTGATAATGTCCCAAGCACGAAATCAAGGACCATCTCACAAATAAATAGGGAACTCAGTGTGATTTTAAAGACTACAATAACAACCAGCGCTAGAAATACACTGCAGCAATGTAGCTCAACATAAAACATGAATTTATCTTATATAGTCAGCATACAAACCACTCGCTGAAATACCATACAGGCACTGTACATCCTAGTGAATAACTCAGCTATGCATAAATGACTCTACGGTATTGCAATGCGAACGAATAGCTGCAGAGAGTTCATACTTATGCTTGATAAGATGCCCCTGACTCGTATTCTTTGGCGACTCGAGAGGATAAGAGACTAAAAGAACGATGACTTCGATTGCTTTGGAGGGAATCTAGCTTATGGCATTATGGGGATGCATTGGACGACGAGAAATCACCGACAGATAAATTCTTCGTGGATGGGAGTTCATACTAGTCCTGCGAGGCAGGAGAACCAAAACGTCAACAACCCAAAAGTTCGGTAAGATTTCACAAGTCACACTAAAATGTTATTGTCCGAGGTTTCTCAATGGTACTGTATCCCACCGTTGTTTGTTTTATAGTCGGTGAATAAGGGCCAAATGACATCCAAAAACGAGAAGAAATAATATGATTATTTCGTTACATTCCGCGACACTAGATGTGTTAAATGCCTTTTCGACTTTTTCACGTATCAAGCGAAACAACACACTATTCCTGTGGTAAATAGGTAACTTAGTTAGGAATAACCGTTCTACTATCAAGTATGTAAAATGTTTAGATATATCTGAAAGTGATGATGATCAGGTTCTTCCAAAAATGATGAATCTGTTTGAGTTGCTTCATGGCATCGGGACACCACCGAAAACCTCACGTTGCATTATGTTCGTGCTATGGCGGGGTGCAATTTACGCTTGCCCTGTTACAGCATCTTCGGGCGTACAATTTCCCTTTTGTACTTGGCGAACGTCTAATTTTATTGCCATTGGGTGTATATTAAACCGAAGCGTAAAAATAAATAACTTAAAGTGCCTTCTGCCAGTTTGTTTCCAAGCAAAAGAACCCTGTTAATACTTGTCCCCTAAAACTAAATGCTGACAACTGAAGGGTAGCATCTATCTTATCAATGACGAAATGAAAGGTCCAAACGTGCAACATGTTTTCCTCTACCTCTGTATGGCCGCAGCCCCTTTTCCTGAAAGTTGACTGTACATTTGTATATTCAATAAATAGAAAAAGGAAGTAAAAATGCATTTTTTTATTTTTAAATAATCTTACCAAAGACAAAAAGATACTAGTAACTAATGAGATCGGCTTACAAATCCTCGGTCCACATCACTGTATATGAAAAGACCTCAAGGGACGTGGGGAACTGAACGAATACCTTTTCCTTCATTCGAGGGAATTATATGGGTCAAAAAATACAATCAGTCAGGGATTTTAGTACTTCTCATCATGCCATCACAATACACAGAGACAGCAGCGTGATAATCCGAGATACAACTGTTTGTTCAGTTACGGTGATGGCTGATTTTGTGGACTGCGTCCGGATGGACCAGTGAACGATGAGTCAAACTGGTACGTAAGCCTAATCGATTACCGCGATAACTGTTCAAATTTCTCGAGCTCACTATGAATGTCGGAAAAGTATTTAATCAGAATGGAACACCGCTTTTGCTTTTCTGCTTCAAATCGTCTATCCTGGTTTCTCGGCTTCAGTAGGCTCAACGAACATTCCAATAACACCTTCCCACTACTTACGCACACCCAACTCCCCGCTGATTACCTTGAAGCCCCACTGCAGGTTTTAACCAGTCGTGTGTGTATGTGCGTATGTGGGCGCGTAGGTGTTTCCTTTCCCAGAAAAACCGAGCAGTTTTCATACAATCATTTCAATCCTAAATGAATTTGCGACGTATCATGTGACACAAAAGTGACCTAGGGTTTGATGCAATCAAGTGTTTATGATTGCCATTTCATTGAAGTGTGCTCTGTGGGATTTGGGATTTCTCAGTACAGAAACAATTACAGTCGATTGTGCACTTGAAGTGGAGTGTGATCTGCGAAACAGGAGGCGTTCACGTGCCCTANCCTACGCACCATCATGTACTGGCTCTCGGATGTCCGAACTGCTATGATAGACAGGAAGCAAATGTGATTGTCTGTACTTTCCTAACACAATTTAGTCCAATGTTTCAATCACCATTAGCGATAACTGTTTCACTCACGTTGAAGTAAATTTCACCTACTTGAGCTTCCTACCAGTTTTCTGTAACATTCATCAGGAACGTCGAAAACATGTCATAGGCGCTGAAGCTTCTGCCGAAAACATCACCCAAAACATTGTTCGGTAGTCCATGAACCTTCCATCATTGATTGAAGTTTTAAACGTCGATTCAATGGGAAAAAGAACTACATTTCCGTACTACTTTGCGTCGGGGTACTGCAAATGTGTAACCCGGAAACTAACTTATTGTTTGGAGTGACCTAATGCGCTACTAAGCCATGCGAAAATCACAAGCTGTCTCCGAAACCATAACTAGAGTGCATAAAGTGCTGCTAGCCCCACCCCACTCTTTCCACCATTGATCGCTTACCCAACACTTCAACATAGTGCTTCAAAATGCGTTTAATGAGCTTCCACCTCACACAACAATTTGGGCAAACTCCTGCTCCGCCTATTGAAGTTTGATGCATTTCTTCTCAGTCATTTATTTACTGATTTTTCCTACCACTCAACTTATGTACTTTTTTATAGACTTTTGACTGGACGGATGCTCGCATTTCAGCCAAAAAATACTCATCAAAAGAAGGAAATAATACGAGTAAAACATTTATCCTCTAAGGAGCCTTAGAAATCCAGAATATACGCGCTGTCATTATGCGAGGATTCTAGCGAGTTAGAAAACTGTGAAATTTCTGTAGATGTTAACGCGAGAGGGTTATAAGCGATATGTCGGAAACGTTGATGAATGAGATTGGCATTTGGATAGATCACCATGTAAAGGATGAGTGGGATCAAACGATATTCTGCACAAATGTTTCGCATTTGGACAACTGTTGTTCACATAGTTTTTCAGATAGATCACCAACGGTTATTAACGACTCACAACCAATGATCAATGTACCGCGATGAAGAATTTTGAAGACCAGCACGATCCACCGGGGAATAATAAAGAATGTCAGGAAAAAGGCATTGATAAACAAAAAAATCAAATGATGTTTTGTTTGGCGTTGACTTCAACAAGTCTTCAAAGTTGAGAATACAATTCACGACGTTTTATCAGGCAGTTGTTAATATGTCCCCCTTAAGTTTGTATCAATGTGAACTTTTAATACTTCACAGAATCCACTTTAGTTAGAGCATCTTTGTTTACAACCGAAGGGTTACGGGAATAAACTGTTCACGAGAGGGTTAAAGTACATTCAAAGCACTTGAATAAATTAAGAGACAGTTCAGAACGAATGGAAAATTCCTGAATATGTGATACGCTGGGTAAGAGTAGGAGGTCTTGAGGCACAGAAATGGTTTGGTAAAGAGCCATGGCATCAACGTTTTTCGATAATTTGGCTGGATAACTAGCTGGCAGGTCACCGCTATAAGTGGAAAACAAGAACAGAGAAAGTAACACTTCTCGGAGCACTCCTGAATTGTTTACGAGCGGTTTAGATGCTCTCGTACCGAGTAGAGTATGCTGAGTTCCGTTTGTGAAGTTGTCAAAGAGTCGCACCAAAAGGTGTTTAGAACAACCAAATAATTCCATTTTACGAAGGAGGAAGGAATGTGGAACAGCTTCTAAAAGCGACAAAAATTCTAAGATAACATATCTTAGAGATTTCGCGGATGAATCTAGGGATTCGGTAACGTAATGAACAAGGGAGTCAACAGCATTCAAGTGTAGTACGCCAATTGGAGGGGGTACTTAAAGAACCAGACGAACGTTTGAGAATGGCACGTTCCGCCAGTTAAAGACCACATTATGTTAAAGCAACGGGACGGAACCATTTGGATAAGTACTGGATCAACACGTTTCTGATATAAAAATGATCTTGAGTGGTCTCTAGCAATCAGTGATGGAATACGTACTAAAAGATGTGTTCAGAAGAGAAGTGAAGGTACCCATTACAGCACAGGTATCCTACTTTGGAAGGGATGATGATAGATCACCGGTACTGATACTTCTGGATGATTTAGCTGTACGAATGAGTCTGGAGAATAAGGTCATATTAGCCGCATCTATTAAAATCCATGAGACTGGAGGATCATTGCTCGGATGTGTAAATTCATGATTTATATTCGCAAGGTCCTCAGAAAATATAATTAGTCTGAGTTTCGTTCCAACAGGATCCGAATGCCTTTGCGTATATGTCTCCTAGTATGGCTGCATATGAGTTGATTCGCATACACCCAGTCAATAAGCTTGATTTCCTTTTTTATCACTATGGTAATGTATCTGAACATTGATAAGTTCTTGGATTCGTAATCTTCCTTGTGTCTTCTTAATGTTCTGAGTTTCGGAGAGGCACAATTACCTATAAAAAGAAATAGGGACCACATGCCAAAAATGGAATTGATTTTATCAGCAAAATTATTAGCATTGTTGTTCAATGAAGGACCGCAGAAGAACCAGAAATCTGCATGGCCTAGGGATCTTTGAAGAAGACACATGCATTTACCTGATGTGTTAGGAAGAGAGATTTTAATTTGGAAAGTTTGTATAAACGAATTAAATGCAGGACTGAAAAAAATCTTAGGTCTTAGAAAAAGAAGACTCATCCACCTACGCTCTTCCATCTCATTTCGATAAAAAAAATGCGGACAATGCACGCATCCATTCTCAGTTACTCATTCAAAATTTTGTCTTCTAATAATTGTAAAACATTGTTTTATTTTCTGTTTCAACCAATAATGACTCTTCAGATTGAACTGTGAAGGTGCCACTTCACGGCTTTCCATTCCACACATCCATTAGTTTGATGATAATTAAACGGTATATATGTCAGCCGCTAGCATTTGAGCGAGGTCTTTGGTCGTATGTGACAAATCACATTGAACAGCGTGTTTCAAACAAGAATGTTTCACTTCGCTTCCTTGAGGATTATGGTTGTGACTCACGTGAAAACGAACCAGATCAGTGATTGTACATAATATGTAGATGTGAAAACAGCAAACGTGTTGAGACCGCAGCAGGATCCGGTAATTGATAACGCACGTCCTAACTCACCGAATCTGACTAAAAATAAGAGTATTAAGAAATGGCAATAGATTGGCTTGGGTTTTGTCCCGTTCCTGGATGATTTATTTAAATTTGTTAGTTTTCTCGTTTTATCTACGGATAACTAACTTGAAACGCATATTTATGAAAGTTCATTTTACACAAGCCCATTCGACATTTGGCAACGCGTGTAGCCTTAGTGTTGTCTCCTTGTCGTGAGTTTCACTCCTGAGGAGATCATTGGATGTCAATAGACATCATTCCCGAGCCGAAAATTTCATAACACGTGGTATGGTGGACCTTATTTTGTCACGTTCATCTGTCTGGTGTAAAACATATGTGCTGTTCATGGTCACGAATATCTTCGTGGTCAGTGAGACGCTTTTATACATGGTGTTTGATGTACCCGGTGACCGTTCTTGCAATGAACTGTTGAGACTACTCATATCATATGTTCGTTCTACATAAACTAGTGCATTTTCAGTTCTAAGTTGTTCAACGTTTTTTGCGTTTCAATCGGCGGTCTGATGAGCGGAATACGAAAATTCACCCTATTCCTCAGGGAGGAAGTGCACTGATTCAGTCAGCTTTTGGTCTTTGAATCTGCTGGTGACCTCTGATAATAAAGCCATCAAACAAGATAGACAAACTGGTCTTTATTTGCACAATTCATCCGCGGGCCACTTAACCTACCTTGGGTAGGCGGTGGGAGAGACGAACAGGAAGGTGGAGATAGGGTGATGCCATCAATAGAACAATCGTTTTTTATACCTCATCAATCACCGAATCGGAGCACATATTTGCATGTGACTGTTACACAATGTCATCTCTAGTGAGTGACAGCCTCTATTCCAACAAGAGGATTGAATCTGTTTGTTTAAAAAAATTGTGGAAAACTTCTTATTGTCCAACTTCGTGTTATTCTGCATCAATAATCTAGCATTGCTGCGCTAAAGGACCTTTCGCAGGGGTAACTGGCAGATACTTGTGAAACAGCGACTCAGAAAAACTGGAAAATCCAACTTTCCAAAGAAACACTTGATGGTCCGGTATAGCGTCACTCACCGCGTTTCTATCCATAGTTACTTGACATGGATTTCACTGAAATTAAACAACCAGTGACCTCTACTCCATCTCGACCTGTCATAGGTTTTTCTGCTATCCTTGAACCTGTCCTCTTGCCACGTTGGGTACACACTATTGTCCCAGCGATGAGGTGAAATCGACCCTTAAAACAAGACCACACACAAGGGAATGCATAATTTTGGGATGTCCACTGTCAAGTCAACACAAATATCGTTATCCAGAGTAGAACACCTTCGGTTACGAGTAGTTGTATGGTGGTTTACTCTTTGCTTTCTTGGAGGGTAGGAACTGGAACCAAGTAGATTGACTTCAATACACGTCACATTACGATTGTCTGTCTGTTGCTAGTTGTTCCTCCTAGCTGTCTTGGTTTGTATTATTTACCTGATCCGATCTCATTGTTCACCTTCTCAAAACCGCGAGAAATTAATTCCGTTTCACAATTTTCGTTGGTTTATCGGGTTTTCGTTCAGCAGTGTATTCTCCCCACACACTTCTTCATTGCTACATTAAAGGCTGTCTTCAGGTTGCCGATGCGTGGCCTCGAAAAGATCGATATTATCTCCAAACTCCACTTGCTTTTCACCCCCAAAAATAATACTTGTTCAGACCTGTTTATGGTTACCTGAATTTTTGCTAAAACTATTCTATCCCGGGATGTGTTTGTACAAATGTTGTTTCCGCACTTTCTCCGACTACCCACTTATTCCGTCTTGCATTTCCATGTACAAAACCCTTTGATATATATGATAATGTGCCCGGATTCTGGCTGATAAAATTCACGTTTGTTTTCAGCTCTATACTTCATTTAGTAGCTGCTTCGCCTTTGTATTTTTTGCAGTTTCCCATTTTTCTTCGTCTTGTTTGTCAGTAATGTAACAGTAGTCATTTTTTGGCTGAATGTTTGTGGATAAAAATGCAATTTAGCGAAAAAGCTTTTTTTCGGTGATTCATCAACTGGCTAATACGTCACAGTTTATATCACACCATTTTGCATTGTGTATAACTTGCTAAACTTTCAATAAAAATATATCTAAATGAATTCCGCCTCAAGGAGATGCCGTCTGTGGATCATTATGAATACGCGTTACATTTGGTCCCTGTGCTTAATGGAAAATCTTTGTTGCACGCAGTGTTTCGTTTCATCCATTGTTTCCTTTCGGGTAGGAAATCAATGAATAGCCGACTTATACTCCCCTGACTAACCACAAAACTGAACGGAGAGCCAAAGGCTTCATTCCCATTCGCCCCTGGGCAGGTGGGCATATGGCTCAGTGCAAATAATCCAAGACAAGTGCGTGTGCCTTATCAACCATTAGGTTTCTATCACATAATCGACATAACATTGCAATCATAAGGAAATTCAAGGAAAATATATATGATTGTATTTTCAGGTGATCGGGAAGGTCAGAACACAAGTCCGAAGGCGAACAATTGTTTTCGAATGATTCGTGCCTGTACAGATCATATAAGAGATTGTTGTTAGTGGGGACACATTTTCACGCTGGGTCGAAAAATCATTTGGGATGGGGGAGAGGGGAGGGTGGTATAAGCCCTATATGTCTGTTCGGGTGAGACTGATTGTGATTGGAGTGATGGTGGTGGGGGTGATGGTGGTGGTGATGGTGATGATCAATTTGGGGCCAGGGTAAGTGGAGAGGTTGAACCAGCCGTTTTTGTGCACATAGTTCTGGTGCGAACAGGCGAATGCCTATCGCCTCAGCGGTGGCTAGCGTGTGTAAGCGCAGTGCATTAGAGGGGTTGGGGGGGGGGAACACGATAGATTACGCTGAAAGCGGATTCTGGTTTAATTTGATGGCCTGTATCCACTAGATGACCAAGAATGGCGCTTCCTATTCTTCCTGTTTACCTGTTTTTGTTAGTTCCCCATTTACCACATTTTCAGAGCAGATCTTTCGATCCAACATGGAAATGTCTCCACTAAAACAAACCCTTATACGATCTGTACAGGCACAGTTATGAATCATTCGAAAACAATGGTTCGCCTTCAGACTTGTGTTCTAATGCTACAATGGGATTATTCTGGAATTTGATCGGGAATGATTAAGAATCTGGAGAACCATGGTGACCACGGGGACCATAATGCTTTTGTATCCCAGATAGAGGTGTTTGTGCCGGAATCGAGTGGGGCAAGCCGAAACACACAGACTTAATTCAACGTGGAGTAGCTGATCAGCATTTTTAGTATATTCTGTCGGAATCAGCATAGTTACCATGATGAAGATGAAAAGCGCCCGTGGGATACCACTGGTGCAGAAAGGGGAACGATTAAGGAACCCAGAAAGATCACAGACGGAGTATATGGTCATTCTGGTCCGATGAAAATGAGTACCAAACGAATGATGAGGATGGGCGGAATTTGCTTGAGACACTATCAAGAATAAATAAGGCCAAAGGTGAATGCTGTGCTCTGCACCCCAAGTCAATCGTTCAGACTCAGAGTCCGTCCGTAGGCGTATGTCTTCACTACTTAATGCTAAATGATAGTCCGGTAGTCATCACTACCGATAATCTAGATAAAGCAAACATTTTGAGCTCATTTTTTCGGGAATGTACAATCGGTTATTAGTATGTTTTCCGGTGTGATATGAGACAGATTTGATAATCACTGTAAATGGATATCTAATAGCACAGTAATGTAATTTTTCATCAGTAGTAATCGTAGTAATAATAGTTCGTGCGAAAGATAACCCCATTATCGGATCACTATTTCATGCTTTTATCCGCTATAGTCAGTCTTATTTGATTTCTTTCACTATCCGATTTTCGTGCTAATTGATCAGAGAGTTGGCGGATTCAGTCGTGGCCTCGGGGACACTGAAGCTTGTGCTTCCTTTCGTAGATTCTCATTCTCCCGTCCTGTTCGCTCGAAATCAGTTGATGGCCGCATTCTCCTGTAACTGTATACGCAAACACTCACTTTTGGCGCAACCCCAACACCACCCTGAGCAACACTTGGCCAGATTTAAACATCCGGGACAGCACCGATCGAAATGCGGACGGTTAAAACCTAGAACCTGTGGTCCATATTATGTGGGTGCGGAGAAATGTTGGTTGGAACGTTTGTNGCCAGCCATGGACGGCCAACGACTGGAGGCTCGTGCTTTAGCTGTCTTTCATTTTGTTGTGGAAGCCACACTCAAATCAGACGCTGGACGTGTTCAGGTGAGCACTGTGAATTTTGTAGGGAGTGATGCTGAACTTGAGGAAACTCTAGTTTATTGTCTGTTTCATTTTATATGCACAACTGTTTGCACCGCGACTAAAGCCGTTATTATTTGAGGGGATACTGTAGAGATGCTTGTGTAGCGTAGGCTGTTCCTGCCATCGCGTGCAACTTTCATCCTATGTTGACGCACATACACACACACCGACTTGTGCACTCTGTGTACGGCCAGGCGTCCATACACACACATACACACACGTGTTTCAGTTCGATTCTCATCTTTTTTTACTCACAATGCGAATGCTTTACTAAACCCGACGACATCGACGATGATTTAGGCAGTATGCTCAAAGCTCACACGTCTGCTGCGATGATCAGAAGAAACTTGTTTTCGCCATTTCTGGTATTAAAACGATTCATTAGATTCCGTTCGCTGACTAATAGGATCCAGTTCTGTAGAACAATGTTACCGAATGATAAGATCCCTATAATTTCAATAAAGTATGTTCAATTGTTACATGTGAGTGTTCACAGGCGGATATTGCTTGAGACACTAAGCTGTTTGTCCACTACAATCATCCGGTCAAGAAATCGGCCGCTAACATTTTGGCGAACACCTCAGAGCCAATAGCCTAGGCGCAGTACTGAACCGAGTAACAGCGCAACTACCATCCACCATATTTGCATGACTATGCTAGGTTTCGATTCTGGAACCCTACGCTCAGTTTTTCAGTTTATATAACCATGGAAAGTGCGCGCCGGTGCATTGGCAACATGAGAGAACATGGATCAATCCAATGCTTAGTTTACCAAAAATATTACATGAAGCACAAAAGGCTGATTTCCATTATTGAGTACCAGTGTATCACACGAAATCCCGGTCGGATATCGGAATTTCATGTCTCTCTCAACAGAGATACTATAAATGCTCTCTACTTTATTCCCACCAATCGTGCAGTGAAACGAATAAGTTGCTAAATATATTGTTAAATATGTAGTAAAACCCAGCTGCGGATACAGTACTTATTAGTTCCCAGAAACGATTTACTTCTCAAAAATTCTGTTCAAAGAAATGCATGATTTATTGACTGGTCTACTCATAGGGTAAGTTGCCAACCCAAACTTCATGTGCCCCCAAATACACCGATCATTCGCTGAAATCATGGGTTTCGTTGTAACTTATATGACTATCAAGGCTAGGCAACTTCCGCACTGAAGACCGATTGACATACTTCTCGGGCATTTCGAGAGTGCGGTAAAACAACTCAAACCCATTCACTTCTCGAAAGGCCTGTGCATCTGTTAAACGGGGGTAATCGATTTATTTTCACCCTTCGTTAGTGATGAAATTCGATTCCGTTGATCCCTGGATGCACTTTTAAGCAGATGAGAAAAACGCATTTAGTTTGCCTGCAGGCATGAGATATGCTTTTTCGAGAAAATGTGAAGAAATCAAACGTCTAAAGTCGAGTAGGACAATATAAGCTTGATACATTCATGTTTGGTGAATTTTTATCTTTCTACATTTTTAGTTTTATGAATACCCTGACTAAAATTGCAGTTGAATAATAAAAAGTGTGAAAACGTAGAATTCGTTAAGCAGGTAAGCACACATGAAGTTCATGAAGTTAAAGGATGTGAAATGTCCTAATGTATAGCAGAGGTAAATTCGTTAGATACATCAATGGGCCTAGTAACAAAATTATTTACGTGGATCACTCTAAAATGTTCACTGCACTCTGATAGGTCCACTAAATATCTTTGCAAAAGCATAAAATACTGCCCCAGGAGGGTAGAAAAGAACAGCAGGTTGAACAATATGATCAACTGACAGAATATGAGTTAAAATCACCCTCAGCTACTTCACATTGGAGGAACTTTCGAGGTAATCATATTTAGAGAACGAAATTCTGTTCGAGTTCATTCAGTTTGGCCTAATTGGAATGCACACGAACCATAATGGAAGTGTTTTCACTCCACTCGACGTGTTGTTCCACTTTTGAAGCACCCCAGATCGTCTATAAATTTTCAGTCAGTATATTTTCAAAAACAAATTGTAGATTACCAACACCATAGTAAACATTGCCGAGAACGAAGTTGTTGACTCCTCGTTATGTCCCGCCGGACAACACTTTCCGAGAAATGACGCACCCTTAGTTAAAACGATGGTACAACAAATAGGTGCACAGTATTTCAGGCCTTGCGTCGAAACGTAATTAGGGTCAAAAAGCTCCGCAATCAGTACAAGGTTACCACCTAAGCTTTATCGAACTATTTCATTCCAACAAGATGGCCATGCTATCCAAAGGCGGTTGATCATCTGGAGCCCAAGTTTAGTGGAGCTCAGTGTAACTGACGGATAGGAGAGAAAGAGCAGTTTGTACTATGGACTTTACTTTGCAAAATATTCCTGAGGTTTTCCCTTGTATGAAAGCAAGTCATCTACACGTAGGCGGAAGTCATTGTTCATGAATGAAGTAACCATTGGTTGATTATACTACTTATTCAAAAGTACCTTATGCAACACCCGGTTCAATGTTCCCGTAATTTGTATGGTCATGCCTTGTTGTGCTTCTTTCTTATCCTCTTAGGTCACTGAACCATAAATACAGCTTTCTCTCCCTCAGTGGTAGNCAGTGGTAGTGATGATGACCGATGAAATATAAGCTCTTCCGATGTCAAATAAAATACCACATGAGCCACGAACTAAGAGACGAGGAGCAGCCGTGTGAAATCAGTCCTGCAGAACGATGTTTCATTAAACTGTTGACCCACGACGTAGTTAATTCGTGAACTGAAAAGTCTTGAGAATCACTATCGAAAAACCTAATTTATGGTATCTACTAAATGAGTTCAGATTCAGGCGAAATACGGTCAATTGTTTAGCCATATCCGAATTTGATTGTTGAGCACTTTGCCAGTTTTTCCTCCTCATGTAAAACTTGATACGCCATCGCATTTAGCTTAAAAGCAACGGTGAAATTAGAGAGAACCTCAGTCTCAATGGATTTTACTCACTACATTATGAAGGACCGAGACTGAATCCATTCATGCAATGAATGATGCCTAGATCCACTCTTGTGTAGGTTGACCGATTTATCGATTCACCTTGACGTGACTCGCCTTCTTGCCGGACCGACCGAGGTCAGTTACGATCGGTCATTGTTGCCTAAAGCTCACTCGATCAACGTTCAAGGACATCACATTCCCTGGTGTTGCGGGGGTCCGATCACCCACTCCCCCCCTCTCTGTCG